TTTAAGTTTTAACTCTTTACCCCTATAGAAAACCCACTACCCCTATAGAATAAATTATGTAAGATAAATTATACATGGCTTGCTTGTATCAGAGGAGGTACTTGAAAAGTATAAGCTTTTCTCTGTAAACAAATGTTTTAAGAATACTCCCAAGTGGCATTTGGAAACCCTTGCCCAAGATTTTACAACTTGTAACACAAATGTTCTAATAGTCACATTCAATGTAATGCACTTAATAGAAGTACTTAATTTTCCTGAGTAGTACTTTGATAAAACAAGGCATCAGGAGACAAAGCCGAAAAGTCTCTTATGGGAGACCTAGACTAACTGTTGTGAAAAAGATAAGGAGTATTTCCAGATGTTTAAGACAACTTGCAAGATTCTCTCAATTCCCATTAGAGCTAAACTGAAAGTGTAACAACCCACCTCCCTAACCCACATGTACATTATACTTAAGTGAAAATTGCTTACTTCTCTTTTAACTTTCCCTCTGCATACATGCAATGGACTGTTCTACAGTAAATCAGGTTGGTCTGTGAGACAACTGGTTTTTTTGAGACCAGCACTGCAAAGCGCTTTTACTCCCAACTGCTTCTTTCTATGACATGACATATGGCAGCAATTTCTGCCTTTTTATGTAGATCTGCGGGCTGCCATCTAGCCCTGCTAAAAAGGGACCAAAAGAAGAATGAAGGTGGTTGTTCTCCAGCTGTTTCTGCCCCTTGCATGACAAAACAGGAATGTAACTTGCTGACCCTGTGTCACAAAGACCAAAAAGAATTAAGCAATATTTAATTCTTAAATAAATGGGTTGAGCAGGGGGAAAAACCTGCTCACACTGAAATAAACGCTTCTGTATACCACCAAAAAGGTTGGCAAGCAAATTGCAGCATGCAACAAATTTACATAGCACCACTATTCAGCTGTAATTTTAGAGAGAAGGATAAAGAGAACGGAACCAATACTGGGCTAGATATGACAGCTTGAAGGATCACTGAATCACACCTGAAAAGATACTGGTTCTTACATATACTGTAGGGTACTTGACCTGAATCCTCACACAAGTTAGAATCCACTTGTTAGAGAGAACAACAGTTTAAAAGACAGCAGGATACAAGGAGTCAAAAGCAGCATACAACTGCAGTGGCACAAGGGATCAAGTATCTAGAAATTCAAAAGCAATGTTCCTAACCACAGGTAAAACACTACAAAACATATGACTTCAGGCAATATTTGGTGTGTTCTAAAACTTTGAATTTATACCCTGCATCATGATGCCATGGATTATATAGCAGATTAATTAAAGAGGAATTATTTTTTTTTTTGCTTAAAAGTAATGCATTTTGCTATTAGAGCTTTCTACTGTAACTACTTTTGTGCAATACATCTAATGAGACCCAGTTTGCAGGAACATAGGTTTGGTAGGGAAACACTGGCAGCTTTGATAGCTGAGTGGGAGTATTCATTATTTATGCCATTTTTATTGTAACACTACATGGCAATATACAAGTCCCGGCTGAACTTCTGCCGGAACCATTTCTGCTTTCTGGAAAATATTAGCCTAAGTGTACTGACTGTGCTACAGACACATTTCATAATCTATTGCTGGCCATTAGCCAGTCACTCAAAATTAATTATTTTATATTTTATATATTTAAATATAAACTGCACTGAACAAATGCATTCAAGTTAAGAACCTGACCTGGATAAACAAAGATTATACAGAAGCAAGAGAAAAAACAGGTTTTGTGCACATTCCTGATAAAATTATTAGTGGAAGTTGTGTTACGTAAGTCCAAACAGATACTCACACAGTACATTACTCAGCAGAAACAGGGACTAAAAGACATTTATCTCTCTTGAAGCAGTTAAACATTGAAAAAAATGTGACATTGAAGGACTAGCTTTCATAATATTAAATTCTGAAACAACTCAACTGTGAACACCGGATCTGCGCAAACCCATGGGCACCAGACACAGAATTCCAACTTCTCCATTATATGCTCTAGGGCACCCCAGGCTGAGCCAGAGGACACCAGATAAATCAAGCAATGGCTGGGAAGTGATACTGCAACAGTGCCCCGTGCTATGGGCACAAGCATCAAGCACTAGGTGAGTCAAGAAAACATTACATGTCTTCATCATGGTAGAACATGCAGCAGTGCTGGAAGCAGCTCCATTTACCCTGTATGCAAACCTCAACACTTCAGAAAACTTTAGTAAAAATTCACTGTTGGTCTATCTGCCACTGTTCCTATGTAGAACTGAAACTATGGACTCCTGCCTTTTCATTAACAGACCAAAAGCAAAGGGGCCTCAAGAGAGGCAGCTTTATTCTAGACCATTTTTCATGCAGATGTATCACTTGGAACCTTCTTCCTAGCCTTATTCACAGACACACACTAATATGAATATCACTTTCAAAGGGGTTAACTCAGTAATTCCTCCATACTAGACAAAATACAAAAAGGGGAGGGAAATAATATATAAACTGAGATCAGATTCTGTTTATTGGCCTGCTGCAAGCAGTGTTTTCTCTACAGAACAAGGCAGTCTGAGATTTACTTTCTATAGAGCATCTATGATGATTTTAAAACTACAAATTGGATGTTGAGGTGTTAAGAGTAAGGCCCATCTTAGGCTCACTTTTTACTAGCCTTTTGTCAGCAACTGCTACATAATGAAGTGTTAAGCCCATGAAGTGGGACATGAAATGCAAAAAACCATTGTTCGTGAATTAAAACTGACAGAAGATTGCTTCTCCAGCCCTCTTAAATTTACTCTATTTACTTCAGAATTAGTTACATTTCTGGGAATACTGCCAGGAAGCTTTAGTTAATATACAGCATGAATGCTGGACATATACAGAACCTTATGCTGTTTGGTAAAGCAACTTCAACAGGTTGTAGAGGTGCCTGTTCCTCAGATTATTTGTGCTTCAGGAGACTGGTCAAAGTCTGTGTAGGTTCTAAAACTTTTCCTTGTTTTCCCTCCCTCCCCCCCCTTTATTCTTTACCCTTTTAATTTCCTTTCCAACATAAATGTATACTGTACATAACATGTGAAACACTATTCTATCAAATCAATATAAAGATGATTCATTCTAACAAATTCTTTTTTTATACTATAAAAATCTCTATCATTAGTAACTGTGTCAGAAGACCATTCACTGAACCATAAGATGAGGCTTGCTTGTGGTGAAAACGGCTTTCAGCTCAGCAATTTAAAGTAAAAACATCCATCAAAACATTTCAACACATGCCTAAAAAGATGTTATCTTGAATTCTGGAATTATTTTCTTGTATGTTCGTATGTACTCCTGAAATTCATAAACAAACCTTTCATTTAAATAAATGGAGCTCAACATCAAAAATTAAACATGCTGTCAACAACATGTACAAAGGTGAAAAAAATTTGATTACAAAAGTATTTGTTAACACCATCTGTACACCACAGATAATGCCTAAGATAAATTTAATCACCATCCTCATTCAATCATTGATGTTATATTTTCATTCATAAAGCATGCATTTTCTGTGTACTTTTCTGCCATAATTAGTATTTTATAGTACTTCCTACTTGAGTGTGAACAGTTATTACACAGTGACTCAGTTGAGATGAATAAGGGGGAAAGCTTGTGTGTTATTTTAATGAAAAGATACTTTCTTGTCTAGCTCCAAAAGAGCCAAGAAAGGTAAGTGATAAAAGCACCAGCTTAGACTCTTGAACATAAATTCAGGCATTTTAATGTGTATCTCAGTAAAGCTACACGTGTTTCCATGTAGGTTATTCATACATATTATGGCACTTGAACTCTCCTAACAGGTATTTAGTTACCTAGGATATCTAAGCTAAAAAAGAAAGGTCTGCTAAAATTAACCATTTCTGTAAGAAAACCATTAATTTTCCTGGAAGTTGCATCAAAATACAATAGTTCATATTTCACATTATTTGAGTAAGTTGCCTTTGACAATGATGTCACATTAACCTAGATCTCTAGTGATTTGTGAATACAAAGGCAGGCAATCTTACACACTTTCAACAAACCAAGTTGTGTGCTGCTCCTTAGTAACTATAATATGGAGTATTGATACTTGTGTATCCATTCTTTGTTGGACTAAAGTCTCTGAAGTAATTACACAAACTAAGAAAGAAGCCCAAATTTAACTGAAGGTGGCTTACAATGGTAGCTTTTTCTCCATGTAAGGCATTATTCTGACATCTACTGGCCTGGTATCCAACCATACATTTTAATACACTGCATTTGTTATTAAAAACGAGCATATATATTAATCCAAAGATAAGAACAATTAAAGAAACACAAACAACATACATTTAAAACAGGCCCATGTATTTTCATATAAATCTCACAACCCTGCCAGTATTTTGGTAGGTTTCTATTGCTTTCTTAACTTATCTGAACCACCGTATGAGGCTTTAACGCAAGCAGCTTTGGGGAAGAAAGTTACATTTAGAAGGGAAAAGAAAGTTGTGACAAGTAAAAAAAAAATAAAATCCAAGCAGCTCTTAAAAAAAACCCAAACACTTCACTTGCAAAATGAAGCAGCTATTTTGTGATTCGTATTTGAATTTAAAAAGACTAATTAGACCAAAATAAAAACCTAAAAATGGCAATTCTATAAATAACAAAAATTTTGATTTTACTAGACTTTAATGAAAAACATTTGGTAATTAAATACTTGCTACTATTCATTTTGTTGATGAACTTTATTAGGGTTAAAACTGTAACAAAGTTCATCCTAAAACATTTTGCAATGCAAAATTATTTTCACTCGAGGAGTGTCTCAAATTGAGTGCTAAGAATTACAAGCAGTCTTCAGAAGCAGACACTCACATTCATAAAACTTTATACATCTTTTGGAACTAAGATATTTATACTACTAAAATCAAACATGCATCACTTCCCATACATTCTGGTATCATGATTTATATTACATTATGTAACACCATTCTTCTAAACAGCAGCAGTTTTATCATACGTTTGCTCCATTTTCTTTGGATTTCTGATCTTTATCTTCACTCTTCACAATATCCTTTAAAAGAGAAAAGGAAAAGGATATTATAAAGCAATATTTCTCATGTGAACTATAAAAGCAGCATGAGGCAAAGACAGTGTTTGGTGTCAACTTTAAATGCTATGTGAACTGGTATCTTACTCAGTTTATTTATAACCAATTCATATTTCCAGTATCTTCCTGAAAAATGGAGGTAGTGGAAATTAAATGTGACCTAAGCACTTCTGAAGAGAAGCACAAAAAACATTCCCAGAAACCTCACTTTGTAGTCTAAAGATTTGGGGGCTGCTGGGCCTTTTTTTTTTTTTTTTGGTTGTTTCTTTATTTGAAGAGCAACTGAAACCAGTGTTTTGCAAAATCCACTGAATTAGGAAATTAGGATTATAACTTACTGTAACAACTCTCGCAAAGTATTTATACTGGCCAAAGCCACCTGAAAACATGAGGCTTCAAAGACATTCTCATCTCAAAAATACCAGACAGAATGAGCAATGTATTTAATTGAGCTAAGAGCAAGGCAAAAGAGGGTTATGCAGTGCCTTCGTCTGTGGGTTCTGGTGGAGTAGCAGGTCTACAGCATGTAATGAAGCACAGGACTGCACAGTGATACTGACGACAGATGTTTGCATGATTACTACCATTTTAATAAGCTACAGCGATTTACAGGATAAACTGAGAGTAGATTTAGATACAGGGCACTGGCACAGGTTGCCCAGAGAAGCTATGGTTGCCCCAGCCCTGGCAGTGTTCAAGGCCAGGTCAGACAGGGCTTTGGACAACCGGCTCTAGTGGAAGGTGTCCCTGCCCATGGCAGGGGAATGGAGCTAGATATTATTTAAGGTCCCTTCCAATCCAAACAAGCCTATGATGCATCACTCATATCCTCCCAGAGGAAAAAAAGTTCTAACATTTTTTTTGTGTATGTATGTAGGGTGTTTTGTTGTTTTTTAGAGCATTTGTGGATGCTGTATTTTCTTTTCACAATAAATGTAGAAAGAAGTAGAAGCAAAGCTCCCTTATAGTACCAGTTTACCACTCAGTAGTCTTCACAACTTACTTCTATTCAGGCTTACTTAATACCCCCCTTACCAGCATTCCTAGGGAATATGCAAGTATCTTTCTGCACAAGGACAGAAATGCTTTGGAGCATTATGTGGTTTGCTTAAAACTAGTTTTACTGAAATACCTCCATATGAATTGAAATACTTAAGTTCCACCTTGAAAAACTACTCCTAACTGATCTAACAGAAGAGCAGATTTGGACTGCTGGGGATGGACAAGATCAAGACAGGAAAACAGTAAGATGGTTTGATATTTTCATTAATATCTATAGTATTTTTAGAAGCATTTAAGTAAAGATGTGCTTTCAAGCTTAGAAAGAATACCCTTTATTTATCTTTAAATAAACAGCATTGCATTGAGCATCTTTATATATATATA